GCAAGTTCCTCCCTTCACCCCACCCTCTATTTCTCCTGCTTTACTGTAGGTCCCTAGACAATACTCAAATGAATGAAAATTTAAATAGGATATTACAAATTATGGATTTTAGAAATCCATTAAAAAATGCCCTTAAAATGCTAATTTGACAGAGCTTCCAGAAGATTCACCCCACCCTCACGATGATCCCTATGCAGTCGTTTATCGTAAGGTCCACTTCGGTTGTAAAACGCGCCTCCCCATCGAAAATCCTGTCTACGGGCCTGTAATTGAACTAAGATATTCCAGCCATTCCAATATTGCACAATCATGTGCATCACATTAACAATGGGACGAAGAAGCACTTACATCAGTGATGTATAAAGATAAATCATCATTAGGGCTACGAGAAACATAAATGACCTGTCCCGTATTCTTAATAGATCATTATTAGTACTACAATTAACACAATATCACAACTTAATTAAACTAAAATATTCCATCCATTCTAATATTGCACAATCGTGTGAATATACATCTTAATACGATAACAAGTATGTATTCTCAATAGTTGATAATGAATAATTTATACATTTTAAAATAAACAACCCGGAATTAGCCGTTTAAAGTTGCATCCACACGGAATCCGAATTCGGAAGCCTCTAACGAAAGAATCAGAAAGTCGAATCAGTCTCATAAGATAGGGACGCTGGCGTTCAGCGCTTCGAGAAATGCGGTCTGAATTTTGGTTCTCTTTTTTTTTCACTTTCCGAAAGGGGGAGGGGGACCGGAGCCGCCCCTCGCTAAATCCAAACATTATTGAACAAACTGTTTATCCTGCATTTATTCTGATTGGTCAATTGTTAAGTTTCAGTTTACGGTCCATTAGCTGAATTTGTTTGCGGTAGTTGCCCAGAGAAGTCAACAGACATAATTCGTACGAGCTATCGTCAGATCATTTCCAATGTGGCATTGTCACCGAAAGTACCCTTGCTGTCAACCGATGCTGGACCAGATACACCAGAACTATTTGTATGCGATTTAGTTTTGGTAGACCTGCTTTTGTTACAGCAAACAGAATGACCCTTCATAGAAAAGTACTGACCAACTTCAAAGAGAGTGATGACACTTCCGCCAATAAACAGCCCCAATTGACCTCCGATGTCACCTAAAGGAATAGTTTCAAATAGACTTTATAACTTAGGCCTATATGCTGCTGTTGATAATGATGATGATAATAATAATACTGTAATAACAACAACAACAACAACAACAGCAACAATAATAATAATAATAATAATAATAATAATAATAATAATAATAATAATATAAATGATAATAATAATAATAATAATAATAATAATAATAATAATAATAATAATAATAATAAAGAAGATACGAAAATAGTTATAAAAGATACACATTAAATTTGATTTTTAAAACTGATATCAACAACAAAAGTATTATTAATAGCGTGGGCGGTAGATCTTCTTTTCACTTACACCCGATTGAGTTTCACGTCCTAAATGAACCAAAACAACTTTTTGTACAAATTACTCATGTACCGGTAGGCCGACACCTTGAAGTAGGCTGAGCAGCTTTCGATTTGGACGACGCGGCGTTCTACGACGGGCAGTGGAGCCTGAAACCGTACTGCGCATGCGAATACATGGGGAAGTCATTCGTTGCGTGGATTTCACAACGAGCTTTAAGCGATTTGGCTTTGTGTTGACTACAGCAACGTGAGTTTTATAAACACGCGCACGCTGGGGCGTTGCATACTTGATACGCGATACGAGGGAGCTCGTCATTCTGAAATTTTTCTGAACAGCTTTGTTGTTGAGACGGGAAGTGCATAGTAGCAAAGATACTAGAAATACAAGATAGAGCACTCGCATTGTAAAAATAAGGCGGAAGTCGTGCCCAACGTAGGCGGCGCTCTTCTTTTTAACCATGCAAGTTTTCTATACTTCGTGCCCAACGTACAGGGCGCCCTTCTGTTGCGAAGTATATCCAGACGCAAAAGGCGCCCTGCCCTTTCCACTAATGGAGGAAAACTTTTTCACTACGAGTGCGTCCGGCCATGCGATTCTGCGCTGTATTGTTGTTTTATTCTTTACTGATTCATGATTATGATTTAATTGTTTTGTGTATTATTTGGATAATAGCAACGATTTCTACCGCCACCAAGGAGGTTATGTATTCACCGATGTCTGTCTGAGTGTCTATTCCAGTTTGTTTTTATATCTAGTAAATAAAAAGTGATTGGTAAAAACGCACCGGTACGGGACGTCGGTAAAGAAGTGCAAAATACACTCATCATAATGAATTCTTGTGCTTTATTGATCCATACTATTGGTAGGCCTATTAGCTCAGGATTTCAATGCTTTTCCAACCCATATTGACATTGAATACAGCATTAGAACTGCATATATGTAGTTTTAAAACAATGTGCATTCACTTAAAATGTGTTTACAACACAAATTTATGTAATTACTGTAGGCCCATATAATCAATTCCTGGTTAAAAAGTATATATATATATATATATATATATATATATGGTAACGAAAGTTTGGCAGAAGTTTTTTTAGATCCAGCTGTAGGGGGCGTCCCATTGTTTGTATTCCCACCATGCATTTCGGTGGAACACTTTTTTTTGTGTGGAGAACTCTATTTTGTATTTCTAGTATCTTTGATAGTAGTAGCATGGAGGTATTATTAATAATAATACCTCCATGGTAGTAGTAGCAAAGATAATAAATAGCAGAAGATAGAGCAGCTTCCCAAAATAGTGGAACATCCGGTCGAAATGCATTGTGGGTACACGGAGAAAACTTTTACTGCATCCGCGCGGCGGCGCTATATAGTAATAGTAAAGGCGCCGCTCTGGTTCGTTTGTTTTCTGTAGTTTCTCCACTTAGTAAAATGTTCAAATTTTACTGCAACCGCATGAGGGCGGATGTTCCATCGTTTTTAATGCAAATACGCGGAACAACTCATTCTTCTGATATTTAAGTTCTTTGGTAGTAATAGAAAACTATTTTCTCTATGGTAGTACGACGTCCATGGTTGACTGAATTCCCCGTTGCAGCTCCCCGCGTCGCCCATTTCGAAAGCTCGCTATTGTAAATTGTGACGAGTCATACGCTCACGTAGTGATTTGGAAGGCCCCATTGGCCGCTAGTAAAATGTACTCAATTTAAGGATGATTTACTTACTAAGTAGAGCTGAGAACGTCATTGCTGGAGTTTGTTTGAAGACTTGCAAGTTCAGCTCCTCATAATATACATCCAGCAAGATATAATTTTTCCTGTTAATAAATAAAACAGTAAAATTACTTTGTATTCTCCAGAAAAAAATATTCCTTCTTATCATTAAGACTGCAGAGACTGCACCAACGGGTTTAATAATAATAATAATAATAATAATAATAATAATAATAATAATAGTATTTTTATTTTACGTAGTAACTTTGTCTCTAAATAAATGTATATGTTTTATATACTCATCATGTCATAGCGAGCAGAGTGTCTCTTAAGTGAAATACTAAAGTTATCTTATATTGTCTTCTAAATGACCTTAGTATTACCTCGTCCCTCACATTATTTTTGGCATCGCAATGTATTCACAAGTTGTTAATTGTTAAGGGCATTAGCGTAGCCTGTGTGTCTCGACGTAACCACCCTACCCCATTCCCCCACCCCAAACCACCTCCCAGCAAATTAGTTCCACTAGCAAGCGGGTTAAAATAATAAAAATGACCATTAATTTTTCATTTATTATGGGGATTTAATTCTGCATTTTGGATTTTACTTCAACATTCTCTTTTTTTCGCACCTCCACACCACACCTGACCCCACCCAACCAAGACCCACTAATGCGCCTAAATGACCCCCAATGTTTTTTTACGATAATTTAAACTGCTATAATTTAAACATGCTATTTCTGTCTATGGTTATTGCTTATGCACTACTTCGTCCTCATGATTACGGCACTGTTTGTAGAAAATAAAGGAAAATGTAGGACTATGTAAAATTTGTTGCTGGTCATAATATGACGGCCCTTACGTGAAGGTTGTTGCAGAAATTCCATAAAGCTTGTAGATTTCATTAACTACAGATAGGTTAGGAATGTCGGCATAAGTGACAGACGTTGAGAACGATGTGTACGCACAAGGAACTGGACACTCGCATTCTGCCAGAGATCCGTTTTTTAGTTTCTCTGAAAAAGAGACAAAAATGGAGTTCATATTTTCATATCATTATAGACAACATTTTTTACAGCCAATTAAAAATATGGAGAGCACAGAACAGTAGACAGATCCAGGAACTTGAAGTACGTACGAGGAAGTGAGTGCTCTGCTCTAGGAAGTTTCCCTTTTACAAAAACATTTAAAAATATTCTTACCGAGCACCCCTGCTCCGCAGACGTCTGTTTTCAATGGGCTACATTCTGGCTCATCACCTGGGTATCTACATAAAAAAAAAATTCAGAATAAATGAGCAAGCAATAATGACAACATTAATAATTCCGATAATAGTTTTATTGTTTCATATGGATATTTATTTGCTTTGGTCAGTCTGAACAACAGGGCTTAACAATAATTGGTTATCACATTCCTCCACCCCGGAATATGGTAAAAATGGTTCAGGAATAATTCGCCAGCGGTAAAAATCGCCTCATGATCAAATTTAGTAATAAAACTTTATTTTAAAAAATCTTCCAACAATTTTTAATGCTGCAAAATTACAATAATTTCAACAATAAATCAACAAAAATCATGCTTTTAAAAAAAATTTAAACAATGCAGGTAATCCCTAGAAAACAATTTAGTGTTTAAAAAGAATCTGTCAAATAAGTTGCGATTTATATTACTTTATGCAGTAATTATATAATAATAAGAGTAATATTTATTTGAATCTAGACTTTTAAAACAGTGGCAGACGGGAACAGTACGTTCATAAGAGATTGAACATTAACAAATATGCCAATATATATACACAATGTGAAGCGAAACAGAAAAGTAACCGACATAACAGAAACATGGTTAAATAATTCCAATAAGGATGTACAAAATTCTAAAACATTGTGTAAAATACAACTTAAAATTTAAATATTAGAAATATTAATTAGTAAAATTGAATATAAAACGAATTAATTTGGACTTGAGTTTAACACTTTTTAAAATATTAAAATTTTAAAACATTTAAAAACTAGCAGTTAAAATTTGTACGTTTTGAATAGCTATATAAAACTTTGTTTGAAAGCTTTTAAACTTTGTTTAAAATATTATTGGCCGTTGTTTACACATTGTTCAGAATTATACACAACTTTATACTGCCTTCATGGTTTTACTTCTCGTTTACTAAGCTCATTTTAGGTAAGATTTACATATTATATTGAAAGTTACACTAATATCATTCTTATTTCTATAATATTATACATTACCAAGTAAAAGTCAGGTTTTGGTATTGAAGTTTCCAGAAATAAAATGTATTCCCAGCAAATTGGCAATTAACCGTGCTGCATAGTATCTTTTCAAGTTTCATAAATTCATCTATATGAATATTATTAATTTTTAGAATTTCTATATGTAAACAACGGTGTTCAATATCTTCAGAACCAGATTTACACATCACACATTGTCATTTACTTATTTACTATTGAGAGGTAAAGCATTCGACCGTGCCTTAAATTTAAGAAACTACTCGAAAGATAAGTTCAACGAGTAGGTAAGTTTTTAATATTAATTCATATGGTGATTTCACATGTAGGTAAGTAGCTAACGAAGACTTACTTTTTGCACATTCATACACAATTTGTTTATCGTTTTCTTTTACAATATTTTCAGTATCGTTATCATTAATATCCACAGGCGTTATAACCCGCCTCAAATCCTATCGCCTATCGGAAGAAGTGACCATAATGTAATTATTGTTGAACCAGCTAAGCTTTGTAACAATAATAAATTAATAAATTCGGAAATTTAGACCCATCCCTGAATCTAAACTCTGTAGCCTAGGACGTTGGTTGCAAGATCAGTCCTGGGATGAGGTATTATCTAAAAACACTGTACAAGATAAAGCGGATGCTTTTTATAACTTATTGTGTAGTGCGATTGATCGTTATTTACCAATAAAATCAGTACAGTGCCACCTAAATGATAAACCCTGGATGAACCCTAGAATTAAGAGTTTGATAATGAAAAGGCAAATAGCATTTAACAATAATAATGACCTGTTGAGGAAAAAACTAAGAAACAAGGTTATTAATGAAATTAAGAAAGCAAAGTCTTCATACACTGCCAAAAAGGTTAGACCAATTAAGCAAGCCGAACCAAGCAGGTGGCACAGGGAACTAAAAAAATTTGCCAATCTAAATAACAAAGAATTTACAATTTCAGTACCTGGCTTTAACTCCGATGATCAATTTATTATTGCCAAACATATTTCTAGTTTCTCACAGCTAAAGGATCCAATAAAAACTGAATTTTTACCGGCATATTTACCTAGCCCAGTGCCACCTCCCTGCTTCAAACCATGGGAAATCTATGAAGACTTGCGTAAGACCAAGCTGAGTAAAGCGGGTGGACCAGACAACATCCCTCAAAAGGTATTAAAAGAATGTGCTTATGAACTAAGTAAACCGGTTACTGATATAATAAATGCATCCTTTTCCCAAGGTGTGGTCCCCCTGCAGTGGAAATGTGCTAATGTAATACCTATTCCAAAGGAACATCCAGCCGCCATTGATAAGCTAAGACCGGTATCTCTCACACCCACCTTGGCTAAAATTGCAGAGAGTAAAATTGCTAAACTAGTAAATAAAGCACTAAAACCTGTTTTAGACACTCGCCAGTTTGGAAATCAGAAGCTTGTGTCAGCTACACATTGTTTAATTGATATTTATCATCACATCTTGAGTGCGTTGGAGAAGCCTGCTAGTACCAGCACCCTGGTTCTCACTGACTTCTCCAAGGCATTCGACATGATAGACCACAATGTAGCCTTCAGGAAATTGAGCAAATTGGACATCCCCCCTTGCATCCTTCAGTGGATTGTTGATTTTATCACTGAACGGAAACAAAGGGTATATTATAAAGGTATACACTCTGAATGGTTAAAGCTCACTGGAGGGGTACCACAGGGAACTATACTTGCAGTAGTTATTTTCCTTGTAATGATAAATGACTCGCTTGAAAATACTGCCTCACTAAATATCGAGGCGTGGAAATATGTAGATGATCAGTCACTTGGTGAATCCATGAGGTTGGAAACCCTAGTAGACTACAGGAAGCCCTTGATGCCTTACAGCAATGGTCTGATGAATCAAATTTCAATTGAACCCTACCAAATGTTCAATCATCAGATTCTACTTTGGTCGTAAACATTTACCAGAATTGGATCTTCAAATTATGGGTCAGACCCTCCCTGAGACCCAAAGTGTAAAGTTACTGGGTGTTCTTGTCTCTTATACACATCTAGATGTGTATAAGAGACAGTCACACCTGTTTGAAGGTCGTAAACTATTTATTCTTTGGTCACTAAAACGTGCCGGTTTTAGCCAAGATGAATTAGTTGAAATTTACAAGAGCTATGTCCGCCCAGTGTTAGAATATGCTGCACCATTATGGCATCATGGTCTTAGTGTAAAACTTACCAAAATGATTGAAAGAATCCAGATCAGAGTGTGCCGATGCATACTACAAAGTGATTATACTTCATATGATTCGGCCCTATCTGTTCTGAGTCTCGAGAGGCTCTCCACCCGTAGAGACACTCTCTGTAACCGCTTTGCTATCAAATCATCTGAATCTGATCTTTTTAAATCCTGGTTTCCAAAATCCTGTAATACGCACAATATGTCAAAACGCAATAACTTTGCATACAAGGAATATAAGTGTAAAACAGAGAGGTTCTACTCCAGTCCTGTGCCATCTATGGTCAGGATTCTCAATAAAAATAAATAATCAAATAAAAGCTTGTAATCATAAAACCTATAGAGTGGAGAATATGGAAGAGGGAGGGGAAAGGAAGGAAAAAGGATAATAATTCATCTTTTTTTTCCTTTCTCTGCTTTCTTTCTTTATGAACCCTTTCTTCCTCAGCACATCTCAGTAAAACCTCCCTTGTTTTGTTCTTTTTTGTTTTTTATCTATGTCCTGATTATTTATATTGCTTGTTATGTTGTCAATTTTTAAATGTTTATGTCTTTCTGAATGTTAAATTCCTTAATTTGTACATATATTAAAATAATTTTATAAATAATTTGTACAGTAATAATAATTTGAATCTTAATTGAAATAACTAATAATTTTATAAATAATGTATTTTTAACGTTTTCGCAATTCAGTTCTGTGAACTGCCAGAAATGTTTTTTTAATGTATTTTGACTTTGTTTATGAATAAAAGATACCTTGATATAGTAAGGCTGGAAAGGTTATCACTGTCAATTAAAATAAAATATTGTTAACACAAAGTGATGAGAATAGATTGTTCATGTATTAGATTAAGAAAAAATATGTAGTAAATATTGCAACTTTTATATTATAAAATTCAGTAATTTGAATCAATTTTTTTGATTTTTTTAAACAAATTTTTTAAAATAAATAATTTATTCAATCAACGTATCATTGGTTTGGTTTCTAAATAAAATAATTTAATCAATCAATATTTTGTGTTAATTTCTTCAATAGATTCACTACTGTCATTCTACATAATAAGTAAATTTAGATTAAGTGGGTACGTTAAAAAGTTTTTTATGATTATATAATTTCACTTAAATAAATTAAACTAATAACAAAGTCAATAATAAGGTACTGTGTATATTTAGGTTATAATTTTATAACAAACTTTAATAAACAAAGAAAAAAAAATATAAATCATTCTCTAAAACACATAGACTACTAAACATCGATTAAGCTGATTTATTGATTCAATTTGTGCTATTTTGCAGCATTTAAAAAGTTAAAAGATTAAAAAAAAAGATTTATTATTAAATTTGATGATTGGGCGCCATTTTAACCTACCTGTCATTTGGAGCCATTTTTACCGGGGACATATATTCCAGGAAATTTTTCACGGGGGACTTTTTTCACGGGGGCCATTTCTTCCGGGGCCATTTTTGCCTACATTAATCCCCCCCTCCCCTGCAGACACTGGTGGCTCCGGAAATTTGCCGAAAAGGAGTCCGAAATTTCCGACGGTGGGTCCCAACTAATTGGCCGACTATAGCCTCGTCCGAGTTTGAATAAAAAGTCCTTGGTAGGGTTCACGTACTTTCAAGGATCCCTCTGGACATGCCAAAATTTTCACGGAACCCGCCCCCCCCCTGTCCAAATATCACTCATTGTCCATATCCCAACAATAATATTAGGCCTACAGATAGAAGATGATTCGCAACGAATGTACGACGTTAAACAGCGAATCCTGGAATTCGAAATAGAAACCACCTCCGCCTCACCATGGTTGGGCTGAGGTACAACATTTTTTATGTAGGGCTTATATACCGCTGATGGCCAGAAATGGCACTGTCAAATTCAAAATTTGAAGGTAATTTTATTTTTCCCCATCCCCCATTTAATTTTTAATGTGCAAAACTTAGGGCGGCTCAATGCTGATATTTTGTCATTAAAATTTAGGATAGAACATGATTTGCCAAATTACGACATCGTGGATCTTGGAATTAGACATAGACAGAAGGGGAGGGGTACTGTCAGACAGTAAATGTTCAAAATTAGGGATTTAAGCACCTCAGGTAGGAAATTGTTATGTTTATTGCACTTGTAGATGGCCGGAAATGACACTTTCAGACTAAAAATTTGAAGTTAATATTCTGTTATCCCCTATTTACTTTTAATTTTGTCAAATTCAGGGCTCCCTCCTGATTTTTTAAATTTGTTTAATATCCATGTAAAAGCAATACAAGAGAAAACACGGAAATAAGAAGTACATCGACTGAGGATTGCCACTATCAAGTGGCTCTCCTATACTAAACATCTTCACATAGAGAATACATACATACAAAAAAATAATTTAAAAGATTCTATCAGATTACTAATAAGATATTGGAATTTACAATTTACAGTGAACGCAGTCATGCCTGTTAAAGGTATTCCATTATTGAAATAAATTATCTCGAATTTATGGGAAAATGTACGAAAGCCTATTCGTGCCACTTAAGTATATAAAATCATCAAAATTTAATCCGAAATAACGGATTAGTAATCCGTTATTTCGAATTAGTAACTCGTTATTTCGGATTACTAATCCGAAATTTCGAATTAGTAATTCGTTATTTCAAATTAGTAATCCGTTATTTCGGATTACTAATCCGAAATTTCGAATTAAGTAATTCGTTATTTCGAATAAGTAATTCGTTTTTTCGGATTACTAATTCGTTATTTCGTTTATGGGAAAATGTACGAAAGCCTATTCGTGCCACTTAAGTATATAAAATCATCAAAATTTAATCAGAAATAACGGATTCGTAATCCGTTATTTCGAATTAGTAACTCGAATTACTAACTCGAAATAACGAATTACTCAGGAGCGAGGACGTAGGCCTAGGCCTAGAGAGAGAGTTGGGACGCCGTAACGTCTTGCCCTAGTTTTCACACGTTTCACTCGGTTTCAGTAATTTTGAAAGGAACACATGAATCATGCTGTCATAATAGCGTTGTTACAAATAAAAAGAACATAATTGTTCATTTAATATTGGCATGTATTTAATAATCTATTCATTATTTACTACAGTGATAAAAGAAAGAAAAGCAGTATTTACACAGGATCTCAATAAATAGCTATTAGTATGGTGATTATGTCTTGCTGAGCTATACTGGAAAAAAGTCTAGTTTATCATAAATTATAGTGTACTGTATAATGTCTGTTTTAGCATTAATAATAAAAAATATTTTCATTAAAATCGAGACAGCTGAAAATAATTATAGGCCTATGTTTTTCTTTAATATTTTCATTACAATTTGTTTTGTGTTCCAAAAATCCGGCCCGAAATCGCTAAACGGTGAGAAATCGCTGAAAATAAGCCCTTTTTGAGCAGTTTTTTTAACGTATCTTTGTTAATATTAGACCGATTTTTCTGGCAGTTTTTGAAACTTGTTCCTTATTTATTCAGCTATAATGTCATGTTATTTTTAATTTTAAAATCAATGAGGTGTCGTCGGAATCTTTTTTTTAAGCCAAGTCAGTTGGCGATCGCCCAGTGTATTAACTCCTATCTGTTTACACAATTTTGCGATCATGTTTACAAAAATCACTCTAACTTCTGAACCAGTGGGCCGATTTTAACGGCAGTTTCGGTATGTAAAATAGACTAATCAAGCTGTCTGTTAAGCTAAAAATCAATTTGATTGGATGAGAGGTCTCGTCGGAACGCCCATTTCTTTAGAGACATTGACTCGATCTGACACACATCGACTAATAGTAATGGATAGGCGCCAGTTCTCGCCGATAGGCCTGGCCTACAGGCGGCTCGTGCTGGTGTAAAGTTGACAGAAAAACAGCGATTTCTCAGCTAATACTTGCATAAAGTTTACCATTTTTGTATCAAAAGTAAGAGAAATCTTTGCTGATTTGTAATATGTAAACATAGAGAATTAAGTGTTTACTTTTTTGTTACGAGCAGTTTAAAAACGTTCAGTTATTTTTCGAAACCCGCAGCGTGATTTAGCCGGTTCGATGGACTCGACCATTATACATGCTGTCTCTTATACACATCTAGATGTGTATAAGATACAGGTGCTAGTTCGACACGGAGTACGACTACGAACGTAAAGGTGCACGATTAGAATCAATGCTTTTGTACAAAACAACAGNTAAGATGGCGTGATAAGAACTCTACGCACTGAAATTAAATAGGTTAAAAAAACAAAACAAATTGTAATGTATGTATAAACTTAAATCTTTTTTGTTGCAGTAATTTTTGTTGTACCTGTTACTGTACACACTGCTTATTGAGAAAAAAAAACCCAGCTTCATTCTCAAAATAATTCAGTTATTGCAATTCGTAAAACATTATACAAATACAGACTCTCTTCAGGATTATTTGGTTGAGACAGTTGTCTTTCTCTCATTAATATCGAACAAAGATCAAACACATCTTTGTCACATGTGTACGGGCTCTTGAAAATTCACTCAGAGTAATTCGTTATTTTGAGTTAGTAATTCGTTATTTTGTATTACTAATTCGTTATTTCGAGTTAGTAATTCGTTATTTCGAATTAAGTAATTCGTTATTTCGAATTACTAATTCGTTATTTCGAGTTAGTAATTCGTTATTTCGAATTAAGTAATTCGTTATTTCGAATTAGTCATTCGTTATTTCGGATTACTAATTCGAAATTTCGAAATAGTAATCCGAAATAACGAATTACTAATTCGAAATAACGAATTACTTAATTCGAAATTTCGGATTAGTAATCCGAAATAACGGATTACTAATTCGAAATAACGAATTACTAATTCGAAATTTCGGATTAGTAATCCGAAATAACGAGTTTCTAATTCGAAATAACGGATTACTAATCCGTTATTTCGGATTACTAATCCGAAATTTCGGATTAAATTTTGATGATTTTATATACTTAAGTGGCACGAATAGGCTTTCGTAAAAATGTATTAGTTCGCTGATGTTTCTTAGTTTAATCGCAAGTTGTTTTGAGTTCTCAACATGATGTTCTGCTTCACCGACTATGGGTTTTAAAATCTCCTTAATGAAACGTGAGACACCATAAAGATGGTGCTACTACTATCTACAATGCGTCGGATCGGGCAATTATGTTTGTGGATTTTAGAAAGGCGTGGTTTAATCTCAGCCGCTGGAAACATGACACGGACAACAACACGAAAGGTGTTTTAACCAGGGCTCAAATAACGTCAACATCATCAATTCCAACATAAATCCGCAATCTCTGATCACGCACTACAACAAAACTATGTCATAGATTAGGATGCTGCTATCTTAGGAAAAGAGGGTGATACAGGAGAAAAACAAAATAAAAGAAACAATAAACATCAGGAAACCTGCAAACACCATGAACAGGGATGAAGGAGCACATGAGTTGTCTCATATATGACCAGCTGCTATTTAAGGAGAAGGAGGTGTGGGGGGTCCGATAGCACCTAATGTTCAATCCCTGATATTGATGTGTGCAACAATTGTTCCCAATGGGTCCGCAAAAAATGATTGGGGATCTGCCAAGTCAAAAGGGTCCACAAAAAATGTGGGGTCCGCAAGAATTGTGGGTGTCCGCTAAATTATTGGAACAACGTTTTCACGATTACATTACTTTTTCTTGTCTTACAATAGTGTGATCATGCCTTGACAATAATGAAATAGGTTTTAAAGGTTATTTTAATCAACCAATAAAGGTAAAGACGTACTTACAGAACGTTTCGAGACCTGTCAGGTCTCATTCTCAACTGGTACTTCATTACTTGCGTCAAGCAGAGGAATTATGTGTGATGAGGTTGCAACTGCTTTGGAATAGCGTCACACCAACATTAGGGATTGGCAGTCAAAATAACGTTATTAGGATGGACAAATCAATTTTTTTTTAAGTTTTTGATCCGACAGAAGGTCCGTGTCTGTCCGATAGGGGAGGATTCTCCCACTACCACTACTGCCTGCAGACACCATAACTAGGGCTTCAGGTATCTACTACAATTTGCATTGGAAATATTGTGCATACAGTATGTTGATTATGGTAATCAACTCTTTGCACCACTTTAAGAACTTGTAAGCAAGTAGGCGCTTAATTGGATTTGTCTATAGCCTTTACTTACCGAATAGGTCTGCAATCACACTCTTCGACAATGCGTTTATACCGGCACTCCAGTAAGCACCCGGCGACCGTATATATTTCGTAGTTGTTAAGCTTCACAGATTTGTCACAGTCTCCGTGGGGTTTACCTAGCGTTTCTACCTATGGCGATTGGACGCAAAACCATTTACATATTAACAAAATATTTATGATTTTATTGACAAAATTAAAATGTCATTTTAATTTAAACGTACCTCCTTACTTAGATCTTAAGCATATTTAACAAA